CAAGATCTGCTCCATGGGGGGGGGGGCGGGGACAACGGGAAAATGCGAGAACCCCCGCGGACCGGCAAACCAGTGACGAAGGAAACGACCACTGCGTGAGTGAAAGCACTGCTTGGGGGAATCCTGGGGCAGCCAAGATCTGCTCCATGGGGGGGGGGGGGGGACAACGGGGGCGTGCGAGGGCCCCCGCCGATCCGATCGGCAGACCAGTGACGAAGAACACGACCGCTGCGCAGGCGAGAGCACCGCGCTTGGGGAGTTCTGGGGGCACCTCCCCTGCCGAGACGTGCGCTTCCTGTGGCCAAACGCAGGAGCGACCCTCGCCGCGGATTTAAAAAAACAGCACAAAAGACCGAGGGGCACACAAACAAATAGGCACACGTCCCATGACTCCGCATATAATTGTACGTACTTCCTGGTCTTCGTCTTCCCCCTTTTCCGGGTCTTCCCATCTGTTCCCCATCTTTCCCCTGGGATCGATGATCCTCTGTGACTGTGCGGGTAAGAGTGACCTCTGGTGCGCGGCTTTCTGGGGGCCGCGGGGGGGCCAGACACAGGCGCGCAGGGCGCTGCTATCGCGTCGCGCTCGGCGATCGGGGGGCCCCACTGGGTCCGCACCAGAGGTCACTCCGGCGCAAGGTCACTCTTACGTCTATAAAACAGAGCTAGGATCGGGATAAATCGCTCCAGAGCGTTCCGGAGCGCTCTCAGAGCGTTCCGGAACGCTCTGGAGCGGCCGCGGCGCCCGATACATCCTCCAAACCCGCCGATTCTCAAAGATTTCGAGTTATCCCGATCCGATTTTGTCCCGATCTTCGCGTCGTTTTAGTCTAGTCGTACGTCTAGTCGATTCCTGGGCTGCCCCGAGGCTTCTGCGGGCCTCCCCCCGGACCGGCTGCGCGCCCAGTGCGAGGAGGAGGAGGAGGAGGAGGAGGAGGAGGAGAACGAGGAGGAGGAGGAGGAGGAGGAGGAGGAGGAGGAGGAGGAGAGGAGGAGGAGGAGGAGGAGGAGGAGGAGGAGGAGGAGGAGGAGGAGGAGGAGGAGGGGAGGAGGAGGGGAGGAGGAGGAGGAGGAGGAGGAGGAGGAGGGAGGCTTGCGGGGGGGCCACCTGCTGGCGGGCCCGCGCCCTCCGCGGCGCGCCCGCCGCTTCTCGAGGCGACCGCCGCAGCCGCTCGCGGGCACCGCGCGGGTCGCCCGCTCGATCGGATCGCGGGCGCCCCCCCCTAAAACGACGCGAAGCTCAGGACAAAATCGGATCGGGATAACTCGAAATCTCTGAGAATCGGCGGGTTTGGAGGATGTATTGGGCGCCGCGGGCGCCCAGAGCGTTCCGGAACGCTCTGAGAGCGCTCCGGAACGCTCTGGAGCGATTTATCCCGATCCTAGCCCTGTTTGACCCCCCCCCCCAAGATGCTGCAATGGTGCCCTCCCGTCCCGCCAGGCGTTACCTCCCACCGCGGGGCGCGCCCCCTTTGAAAGACTACGGGGCAAGGGGGAGGAGGAGGAGGAGGAGGAGGAGGAGGAGGAGGAGGAGGAGGAGGAGGAGGAGGAGGAGAAGGAGGAGGAGGAGGAGGAGGAGGTGAATTGGGGCAACAGCACAGCTTCTTCGAGGCACTCGTCGTCGAGCCCCAGCTGCGCCGCGGGGCGCCGGGCCCACGAGCAACTTTCGGCATGTCCGAAGACGCATGGGGCCTGCCGCATGCTCGGGACCACCACCCTTCGGGAAGGGTCACGATGACACCGTCTGGGGCATGCCAGCCCCGAGGGCTGGGCATGTCTATGAAAGCTATGGGAGGGAGAGGGGAAGACTCAGGGAGAGAAGAAGAGAAACAGAAAGAGAGAGAGAGAGAGAGAAAGAGGCATCTGGTCTGAAGGGATCCAGACATATACACACACACGCGCACATGTTTATATATACGCATCAAGAAAAAAAGAGACCCTGAACCAAAGACTGTGCCATCTCTTGGGGCATTAACTCTTACTTCCGACGCCTGCCACCGAACTTCCACCGGCGAAACCGCCCCCGTCTTACTTCCGCAATCGTCATCCGCCTTTCGCCCATGACAAAACGGCAACGCCTTCGATACTCGAATACGAGGTTTTTTTCTTGCATGTCTAATATACGGATATATATGTATATATATATATATATCAGTATAGTTATATATGTGTATATATATACACATGGATTTTTATATCAAAAAACAAGAAAGGTAACGAGAGAGAGAGAACTAAGAGAAAATGAAAGAGAGCGATAATGAAACAAACGTGGAATGACTACATGAAGACAGGGAAAGACAAAGAACGAGAGCGAGAGAGAGAGAGAGAGAGCGAGAAAACGAACGAGAAAGAAAAACATATAGACACATGAGCAAAACAAGCACGGAGCACAACCAACGACCCAGTGTTAGCTGAATGCTCCACGAATGGGCGATGATGGGGGCAGAGAAAAGCAGACCAATCCCTGCCCTTCTCTGACCTAATCCGTTGATTTCCAGCCTTCCCTGGCGGCCATACCGCGACCAGCTACGGCGACGAAAACCTGCAATTCCACCAAGACGCATCAAACCATGTTGCACGCTCTCTTGGGGGCGAATCCTCTACTTCCGCCGGCTTCCGCCGCACTGCCAAAAGCTTCTGCCGACGGAGCCGGCTTCGTTGTACTTTGGCCGCCTTCCGCCGACCTTCCGCCGCCTTCCGTCGCCTTCCGCCGACCTTCCGCGGCGCCCCGCCGAGGAAAAGAAGATGCCAACCCCATCGATCCTCGAAGATGAGGCCCGTTTGTGGAACGCTCCACATGTCGAGGATTGCTAAAAGGTGTGCCCCCGGCGTCTTGCCCCAGCTTGAAAGTCAGGGGCCCCCTGGGCCTCGCGAGGCACGCTCTGGAGGGCGTGGGGGACTCCTTGGAAATCCTGGGGGCACCCTGGGCCAGGGGCACCTCCAGCAACTCGGGAGCGGCCAAGAGGGGGGTGTCCAAGAGGGGGGGGTGCAAACCATAACCGGCGGCACGTGCGCGGCCCAGCGGGGGGACGCAGGGACGCAATGAAATGAGAAGAGGCGCCATGAAATCTGGGGGGAAATATCATGGCCCCCGCCATGACATCCACCCCCCCCTTAACCCCAGGAAGCATTTAAGAACCCCCCCGGCGATATCGTAGCACCGCATTTTTTATTCGATATTCCGAAGGGCCGAAATAACCGAACGATAGCTGTAGCACCCGGACACGATGATGATGATGATGATGATGATGATGATGATGATGATGATGATGATGATGATGATGATGATGATGATGATGATGATGCGGATATGGATGATGGTGCGGAAGGATCGATTGCGGAAGGGGGGGGGGGGGGCGTTCTTGAATGCTTCCTGGGGTTAGTCATCACCCCCCTCTTTGCCGCCCCCGAGCAACGCTCGAATCAGCGGGGGGGGCCTCTGCTGTCCCGAAGCCCAGCACCTCCCGGGGCGTTGCGTGCCCTGCGGGCGCGCCTTGCCGTCCCGCGGCCGCCCCCCTTCGCTCCTGCCCCTCCTGCCCCTGCGTGCGCGGCTCGCTGCCGGCGCGCCCCCGCCGATTGCCGACTGCCTGCTGCACCCAGCTCGCCGCGGATGTTAAAAAATATTAAAAAACACAAACAAAACCCCCCCAAAAAAACGACCGAGGGGCACACAAACAAATAGGCACACGCCCCATGACTCCGCATAGTTTTGTGCGTATTTTTCCTGGTCGCCGTCTTCCCCCCCTCTTTTCCGGGTCTTCCCACATGCTCCCCCTCATTTTCTCTCGGGATCGGTGATTCTTTGTTGAAGAGGCCCTGGGACACACAAATAAATACACACAAATAAACAGATCCCCCATATTTTCCCATATTTTCTTGGTTTTGGTCTTCCCGCCCAATTCCCATATTTTCCCATATTTTCTTTGGAATCGAGGATTAATTGTGTCTGTGTGTTTTTTTCCCCTCCTGATTTGTGACTGTGCGTGTTTTCCACGCCGGCGAGACCCGGGCCGCAGGCGGCGCCAGCGAGCGCACGAGGACCCCCCACGGGGCGAGAAGACCGGGCCACCCACAGCCAGCGCAGGGCGCGCCCACGAGGCGCGCCGACGGGCGGGCCACGGGCCCAAAATTGGGGAACCCGCGCAACGACTTGCTTGAAGGGGAACTGGGACACACAAATAAATACACACAAATAAAATTATTCCCCCATATTTTCCCATATTTTCCGGGTTTTTGTCTTCCCCCCCACTTCCCATATTTTCCCGTATTTTCTGGGGAATCGAGGATTCATTGTGTCTGTGTGTTTTTTCCCCTCCTGATTGTTGGCGGTGAGCAGAAGGGGGATGGGGGGAGGGGGGAGGGCTTCTTTGAAGGAGGCTGCTTCTTGGAAGGCGCTGGCCTTACACCTATAGATCAGGCCCGCGCCTTCCAAGAGTCAGCCTCCTTCGAAGAAGCCCTCCCCCCTCCCCCTGCTCCCCTTCTGAGCGTGGCTGAACTTGGCAAGCGAAGCAATAACTCTTTGTGCACAACGCTGCTCTGGCTGACCAGCGCCGCCGCCGAAGTGTCCGCATCCTCGTCGCGGGTGGCCGTTCTCTTCAGGCCCTCGGCCAGGCCCGTCTGCCTGTGGTGTCGCCCTCTTTCCTCCTCCCCCCCTCCTCCTCCCGCTCGGCGCGCACAGGAGGGTAGACAACGCGAGCGGGGTGGCCTTTCTAAGAGGGCGGGGTGCTTCTTAGAAGGCGGTGGCCTCCCAACGACGAAGACCTCGACGACCTCCGCCAGCACTGCCAGATCGGATCGGATCGGAAACGGATCGGATCGCCAACGGCTCGTCCCGAATCGAAGCGAAAGCGAATCGCTGCGCCAAGCGCCCGGAGGTCTCGGCTGGTGCCGGTGAACATCCGACCGAATCGAATATCGAATCGGAATCGCGGCCCCGGCCGGCGAATCGAAGCGCACCGCGTCGCATCGAAGGCGGCCCTGCCTGCCCCAGCCCACCCCTCCTGGTACGGGTGCTCCTCCGACAGCTCCGGCTCGCTCCCCTGCAGCTCGCCGGCCAGCGGAGTCCGCGGGCCCGCCGGGGCCCGCGCGAAGAGCAGCGGCGGCGGCGGCCCGGCTGGCGCGCCGCGCCCCTGGGCAGTACGAGGGGAGGGGCTCAGATCTCGGACGTCGTGACTCCCCCCCGCCCACTGTGTGACGGGTTCCTGAGGTTTTCGGAACCCGCAGCATGGTGGGCAGATGGCAAGGTTTTCTTGGCTCAGGGTCTTAAGCCCTGGGCCAAGAGTGGTCGACTCACGAACCCTGAAAAGGATGCACAACTGCGGAGCCTGGAGACGCGTCCAGGCACCTCAAGTGGGCGATGGGCAGTTGCAGTGCTGGAGATATCAATGATGGTGCTTCTGTGCCATGGAACGTGCCAGTGGACGTGCCAGGGGACGTGCCAGGGGACTCGCCGCGCGGTGTGCCAGGGGTTGCGCCACGGGACGTGCCAGGGGACGTGCCCGGGGAAGTGCCAGTGGACGTGCCAGGGGACGTGCCAGGGGACTCGCCGCGCGGTGTGCCAGGGGTCGCGCCACGGGACGTGCCAGGGGACGTGCCAGGGGAAGTGTCAGGGGACGCGCCAGGGGACGTGCCAGGGGACTCGCAACGCGGTGTGCCAGGGGTCGCGCCACGGGACGTGCCAGGGGACGTGCCAGGGGACGTGCCAGGGGACGCGCCGCGTGACGTGCCCCTGGGAGGCGCCAGGGAAAGGGCCCGAGAGCCACGATCCCTGGTGAATCACGCTGAGGATCCCTCGTAAACTACACTTCATTCGTGCTCCCAGGGTCGCGTTCCTTCGCTCATTTTACGAGAGTCACGCTTTCAGGGCCACGATTAGCTGAAAATTACACTGCGTCACGCGTTCAGGGCCACGATGCCCAATCCTTGTAAATCACACGGTGTCCGCGCCCCCAGAGAGCAGCATCCCTGGTAAATTACGCCGTACCCTTCCACCCAAGGCTACGATCCCTAGTAAATTACACTGCGCCCGCGCTTCCAGGGCCAGGATCCATCGTAAATTATGCGGCGTCCGCCCACCCAGGCCAACGTTCCGTTGTGAATGACGGTGCGACCACACTCCCAGAACGACTTGGGTATCCTGGGGCTCCCATGCCCCTCGAGTTCTGCAAAACAAGCGTTTCGTTCGAGACATCCTCGAGAGTTTTGCGCGCAGGACGCGCCGTCCTCGAGCGGACACGCACAAAGTCAACATGCTTCAATTTTGTGTACAATTTCAGAGTCTCCGGACGTTGTTATTTAGCAAGGACTCTGAACAAAACGCTCCGCACCGGTTTTTGAACTAAGGAAAACGGGGGTCTGCGGATTCCTTCAGGCATCGTCAATCGGGAGCACCACTTTCCTCGAGCGGGCACGCGCGGAACGATTTGTCCCGGGACCCCATCTCGTTTTCTTTGAATCGGGCGGAAATGAGCTGGCCCTCTTCAGGTATGGCGCGGGGGGACGAGGTTGACCCACTGACAGGAAACCCTGGGCCAGTGCCCTTTCAGGGAGAAACCTGGCCGTCGCCTGCGAGGCTGATTTCTACCCCTGCCGGCTTCCGTCCGCCGTCCGCCCGCCTCCGCTGGCGGAGGCCCCCCTCGTTTCACCTCCGCCGCCTTCCGCGGGGCAAGAGGTGGCAGCCCCTTCGACCCTTGAAGGCGAGACGTCCCTGGAACGCCTCACATACGGTGGGGACTGCTTACTCTCAGGCCAGGCCTCGTTCTGCCTCCGCCGCCTTCCGCGGGGCCAGAGGTGGCAGCCCCTTCGACCCTTGAAGGCGAGACGTCTCTGGGACGCCTCACATACGGTGGGGATTGCTTACTCTCAGGCCAGGCACGTCCCCCCGCCTCGTTTCACCTCCGCCGCCTTCCGCGGGGCAGGAGGTGGCAGCCCCTTCGACCCTTGAAGGCGAGACGTCTCTGGGACGCCTCACATACGGTGGGGATTGCTTACTCTTAGGTCGGGCATGTCCCCCTGCAGGCGGATCTGGACGGAAAAATATGCAACATAAATATGGAACCAATTGCCAAAAATACTCAGCACATCGTCCATGAAATCTGTTGTAACTATTTGGGGATCTTCCCCCTGTAGAGGGACACGCCCGACTCAAGCTGATCCCAAATGTCACACGAAAAGTGGGGGATCGTGTGTGGGGGATGGGGTCTGATCTGGGCTGCCCTGGAGGGTTCCAGAGGGGCTCCTGGGCAACAAAAAGGCCACTCTCTCGTGGCTGGTCTGGGGGGTGGCTCTGGAACGGCTCGCCTGGGAGGGCTGCGACCCCCTGGTTACGAATTTTGGACTTGAAGTGGCCCAGGGACACACAAATACATATAGACACAGATAACAGGATGCCCAATCTTCCCCAATACTTTTTGGGTTTCTGTCTTCCCTCCCACTTCCCATATTGTCCCATATCTTCCCCGGAGTCGACGATTCATTGTGTCTGTGTGTTTTTTCCTCTCCTGTGGAATGACGTATTGCCGCGGCGGCGCCCCCCCCCCCTGGGACACGCCATGCCCCGTCGGCGGATAATGCCGTGCCGCTCGGCTCTGCGCGGCGGGAGGCGGGGAACTGCGCGTGGCGCCGACGCCCAGGGACCCAAGGAAGTGGACACTCCGGACTTCGTAGTGAGCGGGAGGGGGTCGCCCCCCCCCCCCCCCCGAGACGAGCAGGCATAGCCCCCCCCCCCCTCAGACCAGCCACAAAGGGGCGGCCTCGTGCCCAGGCGCTCCGAGTCTCGCAGACGCTCTGTCTCCCGCCCGCGTGACTTCCGCAGGTCAAGGTGGGCCCCGGATGGGCCAAACGGGGCCTCAAGGGGCCCCCAAGACGGTCCAGGAAGGCGCCGAGTGGCCCAAAGAGCGCTCCAACATGTCCCAGATAGCCTGCAGACGACTTATGAGGCCCCAAGACGCCGGGCTCCAAAAGACAGCCAAAGCGGGCCCCAAGATGCCCGAATCATGTATCGTCGTACGGTTTGTCAGCGATCTTGGCGTTCTCGCCTTGTCGGGCGTCGACGCTCCAAGACGGCCACAAAGGCCCCCAAGTCCACCCCCAGACGGCCCTAGAGGCACCCAAGAGGAACCCCACGCAGCCCCAGAGGGCCCCAAGAGGGCCTACGAGGCCCCCAAGACGGCGCCACCAGGGCAGAAGACAAGGGAGGGAGGGCAACGAGGCAGGGCGGAGGTGTGGACGAGGCAGCGAGGAGGCATCGGTCCCCCTACTCCTCTTACCTCCTCCTCCTTCTCCCCTGCCCTCCTTCCCCTCCCCCCACCTCCTCTTCCTTTCTCCTCCCCTCCTCTTCCTGCTCATCTTCCTTTCTCATTCCCAACCCCTCGTCTTCATCCTCCTCCTCGTCCTCCTCGCTTCTCCTACCCCTCGTTCCCCCGCCCCCATCCCAGCCCCTGCCCAGACCTCGAGGTTCCTTAGGTCCTGAGTTCCTCAGACACCTCGAGGTCTGGAGTTTCGATCCTAAGGATTAGGATCGAAACCTACATATCGATGTGATTCAATGTTTTGGGGGGTCTCTGGGAGGATTTGCGTCGCGGCGGCTGGATCCGCTTCGATCTTCCAGGGAGAAGGACGAAGGAGGCAGGCGGCAGGGCAGGTGGTGGGTGGGCGGGCGCGGGGGTACCTGGAGGCCTCTGTTTACCTCTAGAGACCATCTGGTGACATCCTCCTCCTCCTCCTCCTCCTCCTCCTCCTTCTCCTTCTCCTCCACCTCCTCCTCCGATTCCTCCATTCCCTCCCCATCATCTCCCTCCTCCTCCTCCCTCCTCCTCCTCCTCCTCCTCCTCCTCCTCCTCCCCCTCCTCCTGTCAGGAGGACGCCAACTCTACACTATCGTTGACAGGCCAACCCTGGGATCGGGATCGGCGTACGCGCCCCCCTAGCAGGACCTGCAGGGCGCATCAACCGATCCTGGGCCCAGGGTGGCCCTGGTCGAGGTCGGTGTACTGGTGGCATCCCTCGATTGTCCGTCCGCCCTTCCAGTCCCCTTCCACGTACAGTGGAGGCAGTCCACAAGAAACCTCCACAAGAAACCCATCCCTGCCAGGACGTCCAATGATTTTTGGTGGGAAACGTCACGCCTTTCATAGCGCAAACATAAAAACCCAAGAAACCAAGGGAACCCTGGAGGCAAGCAGGGTGCTTCTTGGCATGGGCCTCCACAGTAAACAAGGCGGGCAGTTACGATGAACCCCGCAGTAGGAGAGGCAACACGGCTGGCCTGTGCCTCCAGCGCGCGATACTCCGGCGACCTCGTGTCCAGGACGCTGACTCCTGGGACGCCCCTGCCCTCGGATCCCCCACGATCACACCCCATCGGATCATTCGCACGGTGCCTGAAGAGCCTGAGCATTGGCAAACCTGGCACTCGGGCCTCCAGGTCCAAGTTCGCTGTCGCCGCCCATCACGTGACTCGGACTGGGGGAATTCTGATGTTGCTCCTGCACCCCCATTCGAGCCAAGAAACGTGCACCCTTCAGGACCCCTTTCGGGCCACTCTCCTGCAGTCCTCGGCCCCCCGTTCTGTACCCCCCGCTGGTTGCCGAGCGCGCAGCCTCCCTCCCCGCACTCCTCCCGCACATCCTCCGCCGCGCCCCGCCGGCTCCGCCAACCCCTCCTCCGGGGACGCGATGCCTGCGCCCCACCCTCATACACAAGCTGGTGCGGCACAAGACCGTGGACCGGACCACTGCGTACACAAAGAGGACATGCCCCCGGTGGCACGGCTCTTGCACACCACCCCCGCACAGAAGCTGCTCTGGAGCAAGGTGCTTGCGCGGTGGCAGTGGCCAAAAATCGGGCCACGATCCTCCGCACTACTCCCCTGCAGCTCCTCGCCAGGATCTCCCGCAGGCGGATCCCTGGATCGAAAAGCCCCCGCCCCCAGACCGTGCGGCGCGGAGAGGCGCCCCCACCTTCTGGGCCCCCGCTCGCTCGCGCGCCCGCCCGCTCCGGTGCCTCTGCCCCTGTCCTCCCCGCCCCTCCCTCCCTCGAGGACCGAGGGGGAAGGACACAGGGGGCCACATGCGGACCCTACCCCCTCCCCCTCAGAAGTCGTGGTGGGCAGGGGGTAGGGTTCGCATTTGGCCCCCTACGACGGAGATGCTCCCTCGGCTTCGGCGTGCAAGTCCAAGGGCCCGTCGCGGGCCGGGGGACCGTCAGAGATTGAGCTGCTGTGAGGAGCGGTCAGGACGGGCCCCTTGGAGGGGCCTGCGGGGAAACCAGGGGGTTGCCGATGCCGCTGCTCCCTGGACCTATCCTGGGGCGCGTTCTCATTCGGATTTTGCGGCGCCTCCCGCCTTGGCGACCAGGGTCCCCCAGGAAGCCGAAAGAGGCGACAGAGGCTGAAGAGTGAGCACCTTACCTGTCCCCGCTGTGTGCCTGGGGACTGGCTTTGAGCGGATTCTGGTCGGAACCTGCAGCGCGCTCAAGGGGGCGGGGGGAGGGGGCAAGGCTCCTTAGGAGGAGGCTGCTTCTCGGACGCAGCGGGCCGCACATCTAGTGATAAGGCCCGCGAACGCCTGCGCCTTGTAAGGAACAGGCGTGCTCCTAAGAAGCCTTCCCCCCCAGCCCCACCCCCCTTCTGCGCGTGGCCGACGGTACTCCACTCTCCCTGGCGTCAGGTCGGGCCTGTCCCCCTACAGGGGGACTTTGGGCGAAGAGTAAAAATGCAAAACATACCCCCAAATGCTAAAAACAAAACCATGTTTGAATGTCCCCTGTAGAGTTGTGGATGCCATGACAATGGACACCCTAACAATCCTATCATTGAAGATGTGTTTAAACTGTGTACAACATGCTCTAAACATTGGTGACACATGCTTTTGACATATTTAATACATAGCTGAAACACCTTTTAGACATCTCGAAATTGTTTGGCTGGGCTGCACGCTTCCTCTCCATTAGTCGACTTCCACACCTGTAGAGGGACAGGCCCGACTTAAACTGTGTAAAACATGTTCTAAACATGCGTGACACACGTTTTGACATATCTAAAACATAGCTGAAACACCTTTTAGACATCCTGGAATTATTTGGCTGCACGCTTCCTCTCTCCATTCATCGACTTCCACACCTGTAGAGGGACAGGCCCGACTTCACCCTGGCGAGGCGCTGCGCGGCGCACAGGCAGCCCTCCGAGAGGTGGGCCCCCGCTGGCCTGCACGGGACCCGGCAGGCGAGGCCCGGGGCGGCCCCGGCAGTGCCGCGCCGCCTCCGGCAGTGCCCCCGAGGGCGCCCCTCCTCCTCCTCCTCCTCCTCCTCCTCCTCCTCCTCCTCCTCCTCCTCGTCCTCGTCCTCCTCCTCCTCCTCCTCCTCCGTCCTCTCTCTCTCCTCTCCCCTCCATCGCCTTCTCCTCCTCCTCCTCCTCCTCCTCCTCCTCCTCCTCCTCCTCGGGGTGCCATCCTAGGCCTCCAGCGTACCGCGTTCGTTCCCTCTTGAGGATTTCGAGTTTGGCTCGACTCTCGTCGTGATGCCTCGGTCCGGGCCGACGGACGCTGTTCCGATGCCTCTTCCAGACGCCTCCAGGCCACTCCGGAAAGCTCCCGAAGGGGCGCAGCCGATGGAAGTCGCCTCAGGGCCCACGAAAAGCTTCGAACACATAGACGTCGTTCACTTCTGATCGTGCTCATTTCAAATTGTGCTAGTTTTTCTGATTGTTCCTGGCCCCCTAGCGGCCAGGAAGAGGCCCAGGATAGCGCAACTAGAAATGAAAGGATCTCGGCCCCCAAAAATCAAAAAAAGCAAAAAAGGAAAAATCGAGTACTTAGAAATCAACAGGGTGTAATTACGGAGAAGTTCAATGCCCAAAGATCCTATGTCGTGATTTTTTCAATGCGGGGTCCCCGGAAGTCTCGACCCACTCCCCAGGAACAGTTTTTCACCCGGGCCCTCCCGGCGCCGCAGGCGGCTATGTATCGAAGAATGGGCCCCTCGGTGGAGATGAAACCAGCTGCATGCAGCAAATTTCGCACCCCCCCCTTGCCCAATCCCCCCTTTTCGTCCGGCCCGACTGGCCTCCAGGGGCCCTCGCCGGGCCACGGGGCTGTCAAAGAACCAATCAGGACGCAACGCCGGCACTGGCAAAAAGATCGGGACTGCTGGGACCCGTCTTGGGATAAAGGATACGTCGAAGCTCTGGGATTGAGGCCACCCCGTTGACGAGGCCAGCTGGGACTGACTCCAGGAGCCGTCCGTATGGGAACACGAGCCTTGCTGCCCTCCCGCTTGTCTCTGCTGCCCCCGTGTGGCCTACGGGCAGTGAAGTGGCGCCCATCTCGTCGGCAATCCAGTGCAGCTCTGGGACGCCCTGCACGCACAGGAACTCGCGGAAGGCCTCCTGCCCTCTTCGATATCATCCCGCCACGGTATGCCGCTTACGCGCGCTCCTGTCCGCGTTGCTTCGTCCCTGTCCTCCTTCAACGTGCAAAGACCAATCTCGATACGACCAACGCCCAGAACCTCTATAACAAGTACCGTCATCGTCGTTACCACCGTCGTCATTGCAATCATGACGCCCGGAACAGACACTCATCTCTCCATCCGTCTCTCCCTAGCCCGCTCTCAGGGTGGAGCGGATGAAATCGGGGGCGACCAGGAGGGGGGCGTCCAAGAGGGGGGGGCGCAAATCATGGCCGGCGGCATGTGCGCGGCCCAGGGGGAAGGGGGGGGGGCTGGGGACGTAATGAAATAAGAAGGGGCATCATGACATCTACGGGAATATCATGGCCCCCAGCATGATATCCTCCCCCCCCTACAGTCATCGGCCTGACCTAAGGAACGATAAATAAGGAACCAAGCCCCTTTTTTCCAAGTAGGTCTACGGAGTCCGAAGAAACGGCCGAGCCCCTCATCGGCAAAATGAACCCGCGCGTCCAACATCTGAAGGAACACCAGGGGGACTCGCCGCCAAAAAGATGGCGGAACGCGTGCAAACCCAAGGAACGACCGAGCCCCTTTTGAAAAGTGAATGTTCCTTATTCAAGCCGCTCGCTGCAGTCAGTACTCCCCCCCTTGCCGCCCCCGAGGAAGGGCAGCACCTGTCTTCGGAGCGACTCCTGGCAACTGTTCCGTGCCCCCATGCCACGCCGGGCCTGGCTGGATGTCTGGCAGTCTTCGACGGGGCCCAGGCCTCCCTCCGCTGCGGGCATGCAGCTTCCAAAGCCCCTGGGAGGGAGGAAGCGGGGGAGGGACACGAGGAGGGAGGAGGGGGAAGAGGAGGAATCCTTATCCCCTTTCCTTCCTCACCTCGACTTCCACTGTCGTTCCCTCCTACGTTCTACCGCAGAGCCGGTGACCCATGGAGCGGTGCTCCAGGGGTCACTTGGCCCTAGTTTGAGCAACTCCCCCAGCGCCGGTCGGCTCTGGGGGAAGGGGGGGGGGGGCTTCGTCTGTACCACCGTGTAGCCGACAAGTATCAGGAATCAGGAGGAGCACCGAGGTGGAGGTGGAGGAGGCAGAGAACCGCTCGGCTGCTGCCGACCCGGGGAGAGTGCCCGAACCCGCAGCTGCTGCGGGTGCGAAGGCACAGCCAGCTGTGCGACGACGATACCGGGCGGCGCGCGCCCCGGGGTGGAGGCAGCGGCTGTCGAGCCGGGGGCGGGCCCTGCTCCTGCTGCGTGCCTCATGCTGCGCCGCGCTCACAGCGTGAGCGTGTGTTCGCGTCGCCGGCGGCGCGGCTCATCGCGCAGCTCTCGACGGTGCCCGCCGGAGCTGGGCGCCGCTTCTGGGCGCCTGCGGCGGAGCTGGTCGCCCGTGCTGCCTCGCCAAGGATCAGAAGCGGCCGCCGTGGTGGCCGCTGGGGGAGTCACATGGCACCGCTACCGCTATTCCCCAGACCTCTCCCGGGGTGCGTTCTGACCAGGATTTCGAGGCGACTCCAGCGGTGGCGACGAGGGCCTCCGAGGAGGCCCAACATTGGGAAAACGGGCGAAGGAGGTACCTTTCCCTCCTCCGAGCCGCGCTTCCCGCTGCCGACACCCTGGACGACTCCTGGGCCGACGGCCTGCCGCAGTCGGCGGCGCAGACTGCGGCAGCCCCAGGCCCGAGGGCGGGCCGTGGCCGTCGGCGACGTGGCCGGGTGCTGCCGTGGCTTCCTGGAGGGCACGGGTGGTGCGGGTCGTCGCCGCCGATGGGGACTCGGCCGACGTCCGCATCAGAGCAGATTGCTGTTACTCGCGATGACGCCCTTGACAGGCCCCGCACCCCCCTCATCCCACCCCCCTGGTCACGTAATGATTCGCGCCTGCGTCGTGCGGCAGTGAGCCATTCCCACTCGCTTTCTTCGATCGTCGTGAAGCCTATGCCGCGAGCGTATACGTTTCGGGAGGGCGGGACTGCCTCCCTTGGCACGGCGCCCCACGACAGCGCTCAAGAGCTTCAGGGTGCATGCGGGACCCTTGGGGTGCCGCGGAGCCTTGGCTGCCACGGCCACGCCATCGTTAGGGTGGTGAAACTTGCTCCCAGCCTTGCTTTCGGCCATGTATGGGGTTGTGCACTGGGCGCCATCTATGTGATGCGAATACAATCATCATCATCAGCATCATCATCATCATCATCAACAACATCATCATCATCATCATCATCATCATCATCATCATCATCATCATCATCATCATCAACATCATCATCATCATCATCATCATCATCTCATCAGCCTCATCATCATCAGCATCACCATCAGCATCATCAGCAACATTATCAGAGTCCTCCTCACCCTCATCATCCTCCTCATCATAAACATGATCATCATCATCAACATAAACAGCATCATCATCACCATCAGCAGTACCGGTCATCATCACCATCAGCATCAGCATCAGCATCATCATCATCGCCATGACCATCACCATCATCCTCATACTCAGCCTCATCCTCATCGTCATCATCCTCATCCTTACCCTCAGCATAATCATCACCATCACCATCACCATCACCACCACCATCAGAATCAACATCACCACCATCAGCAGATTCAGCATCATCATCGTCATCATCATTAACATCATCATCATCGACCATCGACCATCGCCCGTCGATCATCGGTCAAAGATCATCAGCCTTAGCATAATCATAATCATGATCAACACCATCACCATCATCATCATGATCATCATCCTCAAACCGTTAACAGCATCGTCCCCATCATCATGATCGTCAACAGCATCGTCACCATCATCATCGATCATCATACTCATCATCAGCAGCATCATCAGCACCATCATCATCACCATCACCATCTCCATCATCAGCATCATCAGCATCATCATCATCAACAGCAGCATCATAACCATCATCAACAGCAGCCGCAGCATCATCACGATCATCGCCATATCATCATCGCCCCCCTCCCATCCTCATCCTCATCCTCATCCTCATCATCCTGGTCCTCGTCCTCGTCCTCGTCTTCCTCGTCCTCCTCCTCACACGCATCCTCGCCGTCCTCATCGTGGTCACCTTCCTCACAGCCAGTCGTCAGCACCCTCGCTGCTGCCGCCGTCGGCAACGCCCACCCTCCTCCTTCTCGCGAGGCCCGAGCGCGTCGGGAAGCTTCAGGCCTCCCGGCCTCGCGGCCCTGGGCTGGCTCTGGCCCTGGTCGGCCGCGGCCAGGACCGCGGACGCCTGCGGGTGCGACGAGGAGGAGGAGGAGGAGGAGGAGGAGGAGGAGGAGGAGGAGGAGGAGGAGGAGGAGGAGGAGGAGGAGGAGGAGGAGGAGGAGGGGGGGAGGAGGAGGAGGAGGTGGAGGAGGAGGAGGAGGAGGAGAGGAAGAAGAGGAGGAGGAGGAGGAGGAAGAGGGCCTCCTGATGGGGGAGGAAGAGGAGGAGGGGAGGGGGCGGGGGAGGAGGAGGAGGAGGAGCCGGAGGAGGAGGAGGAGGAAGAGGAAGAGGAGGAGGAGGGGGAGGAGTGAGGAGGGAAAGGAGGAGGAGTAGGGGGAGGAAGAGGAGGAGGGGGAGGAAGAGGAGGAGGAAGAGCAGGAGGAGGGGGCGGTCCCGGCGCAACCCGGGAAACTTCTTGGGCAACTTGAGTGGCCGCTATGTCGGATCTCAGAAATGTTCCCGTGAAAGGCGGTCGTGTCATGGCACGAGCAGTTTCACGTCAGTCCAAGTAGGGGAGGCCGGGTTGACAAGTCAGCCGAGGCAACTCCACTATGCAGAAGCCGCTGGGTAAAGAGGCGCGCATTCACCCCGCATCCTTGAAAATGAGGGGGCCCAGGGACACACGAAGAAATAGGTACAAACTCCAACATTCCGAATTTCACCTTCAATGTTTGAAAGAGAATAGTTTTTCCCTCCATTCCTCACATTTTCCTGGGAATCTGAATTCAATTGTGTCTGTCTTTTTTCCCCCCTCCTGGGCATTCGCCCGCCGCCATCCCTCATCCTGTCGCATCCAGGCATGTCGGTAGGCGGGGCCGGGTGTTTCGCTTGATAGCCCGTGGCGGTTAACGATCTTGAACCTGAGTCACGAGGGTGGCGGGCCGGCAGTTTACGAAATGCAGGTCTCCCCTTTGCGCCAAGCAAGATCTCTCAACATATCCCAAAGTCTGCAAATATGGACGCGCGCTCATTCTTAAAATGCGGCTCTCGCCTGAGTGCCGCGCGTATCCGTTCTAACAACATTTCATCACGTGCTCTCCTTGGAACCACACACATTCGCTGGCTGGTTCGGCTTCAGAAGCGCAGCCCGAGGCTCTTGCTCGAGGCCACCTCGTAGTGTACGATCCGAAATCTCAGACAATGCAACATGTGTACGGTTTGAGAACGTCTCGTCGTGATGTTGGAGAATTCCACGCAACAGTCCAGGGCGTCAATGGTTTGACGAATTTGTTATTCCAACCAGTTTCCCTTCTCCACGGCGGCTCCTGATTCGTATACAGTCCTTCTCCACCGGACCAAGTGCAACCGTGGAAACACGACAACACCAGCCACCATCACTGTCAACAAAAAAAAGACAACATGCACTTTGCGGCCAAACGCTGGGCATAGACTCCAAACCACAACTTTTACATGTATTGACAGGGACGAGGAGGGGCAGGCAGATTGCCCGCTGCGCGCTGGCCCAGTACCCGTTTCAAAAGATCGCAGCCAGCGCGGACCCCAAATAGCGGTTGGCTTGCAATTTACGCGGCGCAATCGAACTGGTGCAGTTGACTACCCTGCACCGCGCTTGACCACCTCCACTGCTCGCGCAAACATCCCACCAACCCACCCGCAACTTGGTTTGCTGAATCTCTTAAGACCGTGACGGCGGGTACCAAATGGCACCTGGCAGCGACAG